CATGATAGTGGTTCGTGAACACGGTAGAATAGTTTTCCTGATATCTCGATTTTTCTGAAAACAATTTCTGCCGTAGTATTTTTTTTAATCGATTGGAGCGCACGAAAGGGAATCCCTATAATGTTCTAAGAACATCGTGCGTTCCTAGGGAGGATAGGGACAGGAGGTATAGGTAATGGATTTTTTTTTAATTTTTGGAGATTATATGTTGTTGGGAATACTTCCACAGGCAATGAATTCCAGAGCCTAGCCGTTCTATGGATGAAGGAGTCTTGATAAAGTGCTGTTCGACATCTTTCGAGGTTGACAACGAAAGGATGTGCTGACTGGGCTTGTCTAGTTCGTCTGACTGATATTGCTAGGCATGATAGCAGAGATTTCCGAAGAACATTTCCCGTGGAAGTATCGATAGAAAAGTGAAAGGTCGCCGACCTTTCTACGGTGTTCAGTTTACAAAAACATTTTTATCTAAAGTTTGTGAAACAGGTATTGGACGGTCCCTTTTTGTACAATATGGGTGCAAATGTATCACTGAAAAATTGCCATAAAGTCAACTTTTTCAAAAGGCACCTTCTATATTCTTCTCACAACATATGAATTGAATTTGAGGATGAGTTATTTGAGCATTCCATAATTATACTTAACCCAAACTTTGAGATATTCAATAAATCGAGAGAAGTCACTTCGTACAAAATATATGATCATTAACTGTTTCAGAGAAGCCAGAGGCTCCTTCTACTTGATCACACATGAAAGCAAGCCATATGGAGTACGAGGAAGATGAAGAACAGCTAAGCCAAACAAAATAACTGGAAAGAAATGTGATTTGGAAAATTCCGATTATTTCTTAATGAATGATGAATGTTATAGTGGTGTGTACATAGGTTAGATATTATTCTAGTATTATTTTTTGTAGGTCCTAATTATTCCACTGTAGAATTGTTATAGTGTCCTTAATTTATATTTCCTGAATTACAATAAGACTGTCTGAATAAAGAATTTGAAATAACATTATTTTCTTTTCTATCGAATTGAAAATATATATGTATATACGATATAAGAAATATATACCCCCCATCTATTATTTAATGATGACAAAGAGAACATGTTACATAATAAATATATTGATTCATTTCAAATAAGTTGCCTAGCTGAATCAAGTGCCGATGATGTTAAATGATAATGTGTTCAATTATATTATTTTCATAACCTCCCCTCGTTTGTTAATTATAAAAGTTGAGTGTCAGTTGACAAAAGATACAGCGAGGAAGTTGAAAAATGAAGTTTGCCTATCTTTCTCAAGGCGCAACTATGGAGTTGTCAGGTATATATAGTCACTAGATAGTACTAGAGTGACTGGATGGTATTATAGTATAGATGAGAGTTCGGACACAGCTAAACTTCTGTCCTTTTCTATTTTCTAATTTACAAAGGTTTGAGACAGATATTCTGCTATTTGGCTTTTCAATTTCCCTGGTAGCGCCTGATTGTCAGATACCATTTCAGAGATTTTCTGTCAAATTAACCATAGCCGTAGATGGAAAATGGAAATACGGTGAGAACGCCCACTTCAATTTATAGCGATACAGTTTTCGCAGAACAGCAGTTATAAAAATGAGAAAAATGCATGTAACAATATTTCAATATGACAAAGAAGACATATTGATATACTTACAGCTAGTTTAGGATTTTTATGATTTGTTTTACATTTTATTCAATAGCTATCTCAGTTGATATTAGTCTTACAGAAACGTTCAAATAAGCAAAAATTAAGTAATTTTCATGGGCATTCAGAGGCAAGTACCAGAAAATGCAAAAAAGGATCGCAGACCTAGAAGTTTTACTTAACTGCCTGTATTTTATTTTCTAAAACGAAAGAGTTCTCTTTTATCAGCGTTTGAGAATATATTTTCAGGAAACTGACAAAGATAACCTCGATAGAGTATAAGTATATATATGAGATCAGAAGAAAGAGCTCCATCGATCAAAGAAATAGAATACAGGACATTCCATTCAAAAAATACCAGTTTATGTGAAATTCTTAGGTTTACGATGGTTTATTGCATGTTCTAGTAAAAAATATCCTGAATGCTTACGAAAGATACTTCCTTTCTGGTTTTTGCCCATTTGAACAAATGTAGGACCAATATTACCTGAGATACCTATTGAGTATAATATAACCGAGAATATAACCAATCACCCTGTACATATGGATTTTTAGTACAGTAGCTTATCTAGGATTCAGTTCTGGGGGGTGAATGTTGAATAATCAGGTATATAAAATATTTCAATACAGGGTGATCCATTTGAAAAAAAACTGCAGACTGAGCCATATTTACAATAATATGACAGCAAACAGAAATCAACATTGGTCACTGAGTAGAACATAAAATATTATAATAGTGGCGAAAACAAAAGTACTTCTGGTTTACTCAGAAATCACTGAAATGAGGTGTTTCCACACATATACCCACCCTGTATATTGGTGTCCACCTAGATATATTCTGCTTTTTGTATATATCTATTGATTAGTTGATAATTAGAAAATTAGGTATGTTCGTGTCCTACTCGTAATATTTGACAATGTGCCGACACGCATCTTCGTGTTATAATAATTACGATTGAGATGCCATACACGTGCACATCGATATTTCTCTATAAAATAGTACTTTATAATCTAATATCCTTGCACCAATGATTTTCCATTATTTTCCTCCACATTTTTACAGAACTTAATCAGGACTATAGTTCTGAGACAATATATTAACCAGATTTCTCCATAGATTTCGTTTCAATCGATATACAGGGTTAAATTGAATGACAATATCCAAGGAGGCGATTTTTGGGTCCATTCTAAGAAGAAAGTTTCATATAAACGTATGACCTAAATGTTCTAACTTTCGAGATACAGGGTGCTAAAGTTCTCAAAAATTAATATAGCCTACTTCAATGAGAATAAGTTATAATTCCAAAATACCAAATACGAATACAAAGTTCATAAACTATGAATTGTTTTTCTGAAATTTGATATAAAAAATAAAATCTATTTCTTCTACATTGTGATATTGTCATATTGACGATATTGCTATAATCATGTAGTGAAAAGCTTTTTATTTTTTTAAGCGAAAACCGTGCATCGGATTGAATAAATTGTTGTGATCAAATTTGCTTTCAAATGATTGGTAATTTCAGGAAGATTCCAATTTCGAGATTATTCAGTGGCGTACCATCAATGTCTGTATGTGAAATTCCATATGAACGCCACTGGTGGTACACTAACTAATGCCTCTTGATACATAGTACATGTAAGCCAACTTTCATTAAAATATCTGAAGTGGTATTACAGATATTAATAAAAAACTATTAATTTTTGAGAACTTTACCACCCTGTATCTGGAAAGTTAGGACGTTTAGGTCATACATTCATATGAATATCAAAGAATTGCCTCCTCAAATATTGACATTAAATTATGAATTACCCTGTATTCTCGATTCTCTGTAACATTCAGTCATACCACAAATGTTATCTCCTTTGAGAAGTGAGAAAACTGGCTTGTCATGCTTTCCTGAAATGAACGGTTATTGCAAAAATTCGGCAAACAATGTGTTTTTTTGCAACCGACCCAAAAGTAGCCCATTTTAATACCAAAATTAGCTCTTAATTGAAGTTTCTATTACTGACACAAAAAAAGGTATGTTGCTAGGCAACATATTTAGTTCCTAGGAGCTAAAGTTGAACTTTAGTTCCTAGGAGCTAAAGTTGAACTTCAGCTCCTAGGAACTAAAAAGGAAGTACTGGAAGTCATCAAGAATGAACAACATTGTTACGCTTGGTTATTTGGGTTGGGACGCATACCTGATTTGTTTCTGATTTCGGCAGATTTGGCATTTCATACCCAAGCTGGAGCTATAAATACGCCTTATTTTAGTTGAGTATAGGAATTATGATCATCTCAGTTCAGTATTTTTGTTTTGATCAGGGAAGCCTTCAAGATTCACATACTTGCTTGATCTGTACTTCATTCGTTATTCTCGGGATGGATAACTTGTATTTGAATAATCACGGCAAGCAATAGCGTTCTGTTTCAATCAACGATATTGTTTACCCCTATTTGATTATTGAGTCAAACACAGTGTAGTATGGAGAGGAATAAATAATCGCTACCTATTATTATTGTTGATATGCTCACTAACCTAACATTTTCCACGTTTTGTTCCTATACCTGGCACTAGCGCGATATTTGGAATTAGAGTACCTGGTCCATACACAATTATTTGACTCGGTGGTTGGTATTTATATTGAAACTACAATTCGAACATCCTTGAAAATTGAATAAACCTGCTGTAAATGCATGTACAATATTCTCACCACACGGATGTTGCATTGATTTTGATTTGTTGCATTGCATACAATGCATTGCGTTAATTATTTCGGTTGCAGAAGAAAAAGGCATGTTCCATTCGGATCGAAAGTGACTTTGTTTGACAAGCGAATTTTGCATTTGCGAGGCGGAGCGTTTAGCGGATTTCGTCTTTCGCCGTTTCGGATTGATTGGCGGAAGACGAAATTTGCCATTTTCGGATCTCTGCCAATATTTTCAGAACCAATTGACTGATTGTAAATCTGCAGTCAGTTATTGAATGCACTAAGTTCTCCCTGAGCATGTTCCCTTTTAACCATTGCTATAGGTATGATAGGGACCGATCGAGATCCCTGTATTTAGAGGAGCAAATCTGGCACACACCGTATAATGTCAGAATTTCTCGTATAATATAGAGTGAAAATTGATCCGAGTGATCTGTCTTGTGATTTCTTTGTTGTCTTCACAGAATGAATTTTGGTATTACGACATTCATTAAAATTAAGTGGCCGTTTCGAGTTACAATTTCAATTCCTGTGTGAAATGATATTAAACGAGCTTAACTTCCTGATATTGCCTGGTCGATACTCAAGTTTGAGGTTGATACTAGGGACCCTAGTTGATACCAGCTTCAAAATCCAAATACATATTTGACGTATGTATTTTGAATGTGTCATTATCACCAGCAGGAAATTTCAAGTCAGAAAAACAATGAATCTTCAAAACATCATAAGAAAAAGTTCGTAAACTTGGTCGACCTCTGAAATACTTGATGAACGAATGATCTCGCTATTTTTCAGATATCCCATATCATAACAGAAACTTGTCAGCAGCAGAATCGTTCCAAAAATCCATTCAAGTATGCATTCTGGGATGTCATACTCCACTTGGGAGGACTACTAGTCTTCTCATGAAACAGAACCCTATCATTTCGAATTTACGAATGCAAGGTGAACAGATTGTTCATAATATCGCTGCTGATTTGAGTCATATAGACACCAAATGCACTGTACAACCTTTTGAAGGAAACTCTGAAGTTTCAAGAGCAGTAAGAGTAAGTAAGTTGCCATGATATTCATTTGCAGATCAATGAGTTGAAAGTACTTTAATGAGCTACAAAGATACTATTTGCCTGTAGACATAGTTGTTCTATGAAAATAATTGAGCAGGATTACTATAAATAACGTTCATTCTAGAGCGCAGATATTATTTTATTTCTTCCAAATGATAAACTGAGAGAAGACACACCCTTGGTGGACAGAGTTCTAACAGAAGGAAGAAGAATCTATGAGTTCACTAAAGAATGTACAATTCACGCACCAAGATCAGTCATTGTAGTAGCAATATCACCGGTGTCTGTTTCAACACCATTAGTAGCTCATGCTTTCAAACAATCGCACTGGTATCATCCTGGAAGAATCATTGGATCAGCAGCAATAGCACAGGTCAGTGTGAGTGTAGTCAATATCATTGACAAGTAAACAATCAGAAAAACTGAGATAATTATAGCGGTAAACCATGTTTTGTGTCAAACATTTTGCTCAGATGATTCCCCGTACCTACCTACCTACCTACCTACCTACCGATATTGCCTATATGATAGAATTTCCTTGAGTTCCGATGAATATTCATGCCCTTTACCGTTTGCATCTGAATCATTGAAAGTGTTTCTAAAATATATATTCATTAGTTTTTCAGTGGTGCTATAATTGATAAATGTGAATATTATTATTTTTTGCAACGAATTAATAATAATAGCTACTAATCGCAGGAGCACGAAGTTAATATCACAAACCATGTGCGAGTGTATTAATAACCATTGATTATTGTTGCATAATCTATTTTTTCAACGACCAAGAACTAATGAAATAAAAACAAGAATTTATAATTCAACAACACATTTACTGAAGAAGATATTATGTTTTATAATTTGCCAGTCCATCATGAATTACTTGTATAATTTGACAAAGATTTTTCTATTTTGTTGGAACTAAATGTTCACTTTTGCTTTATCAGAACATAGATAAGTGTGTTTCATCTATGATCAGAAATCTCTCATCTTGTTGGAACTCAATTTCCACAGACACTTACTGGTGGTGTAAGTACTAGTTATTTATACACGAAGGTAGTGAAGACTATCATTATTACCCAGGGACCAAGATAATATCCCGAGGCTTCAGCCGACAAGTCGTTATTGATAAATACCTACTAGATTCCATTGCCATTCCTGCAAATATCTGATAAGAACAGTGAATTCGGGTTAATTGTAGCAGAGGTGGCTATGTTTTCATTGACTAGTGGTTAATAATTAATAATATGTCGAAAACTACCTTGGTAATAAAAACAAACTTTTAACCCGGGCGCACATTGAGATGCAGGTGTCGCAGGGCAGCAGAGGCAACACAGCACAGGATAACTGCATACAGGTTTTCACTAGACACGTGGCTGAGCGCACATTGAAGGGCAGCTTTTCGCTAACTGCTTCTTATATTGAAGGTGTAGGTTAGTAATGGATGAACTTATGGACTTCACAGATGCTAACTAATATGGCATCAATGCACGATAGCTTGACTAGAGGGAAGTCGTTCTGGAAAAGCAAGTATTTGAAGAAAATACATTCTAATGGAGACTTCCAGTTAACAACTGAATTTTCAGACATCCGATTTACCAACTATTTTCGGTTGAACATCTTTATATTTGGTTTTCATATAATTTGCATGACTTGTATCATATATACTAAAGTCTTCCTCCTGACCAATTCGATCAATTCCTCATGCATATTACATATTAGTGTATAAAATCTCACACAGCCACACACGTTTGCACGTCTCTCGCAGAAAGGTTCTAAAGCTAGTGGTGGAAAAAAGATATTCTTCACTATTCAAAATGTTTATGATCATAGGTACTTTTGACATGTTGTGTTGACGTGTTTCTGTAGGCAGAAAATTCGATATATTATGAAAAAAAAATTTGTACAAACCCTAACACAAGTATGCATTTACTTATCGTGGGTTGGCACTGTGAAAATGAAGTGCAAGAACATCAGTGAACATTATTTTTCCTTTCTCTCCCGCTCTCCAGACACAGACATTCAGTCTTCTGGCTAGGAAAGAAATCGTACTGAGTGAAAAAACCAAATGTAATTCTAAAAGAGTGCCAATAAACCTATCTATCTATGTTAGCATTGACTGAATATGTTTCGCCGCGAAATTGAAATCCGGGTTGAAATGGGTAGCAGCCATTTCATTCGCATATTAAATACGGGGGAAGAAATAACTCATATTTTGTATGGAATATTCTTCATTTTATGAAACAGACTCATAGATGTGATTCCATCAAGGAATTACTATGAGAGAATATGGTCATAGAGTATACATAGTACGATGTGAACAGGAATTCGCGACTTCAACTACCGATGAGGGCGCTGCGAGACGTAAGTAACAATGGAGGATTGCGAGTAATGTTTCTTGTTTTGCACAGTGAATAGTGAATCGGTTTGGTCCATTCGATTTTGAGCTATGTGAGAATGTGAGATAATGATATGGATTACACACCCAAAACAACGACGAAAACTGATCAAATCACATGATGCACCTCATTAGGTAGGTTCACAATTTCACCACCAGGTGGAGTCTAGGCTTTTGGATTCGCGAATGCTACAATTTCGTACGCATGTAACCCCAAGCACAAACTTCTGGATGCATTTTATTTTATCAACGATACGAGACTGCTTCAATTAATTGTATGTCTCGAAAATGCTGACCTGGATTGCAAACTCCATAGGCAACGTGGTTCTATAATATATCTTGATAGTTCAGGTGGAGAAGATGCATTTTTTCTCTTGGAGCGCACGAAAGGAAATTCCTATGATGTTCTAAGGATTAGTGACTGTGGCATCACGAATAGGTCTTGCCTGGATGGAATTTAAAAGCATAAGCGTATGTTTGGGTGCTGAACCCCATATGTGAGAGCAGTATTCTGAAACTGGCTGTATCTGCGCTTTGTAGATCATGAGAAGCTGTTGAGGTGTAAAGAAGATTCTCGCACGAAATAAAAATCCGAGTTTTTGTGAAGCAGCTTTCGAGATGAATCGAAAGATCGGACTTGATTTCATCATGATTGCTGATTGAAATACCAAGCAAAGATATAGTAGTCTTGGTGGGAATGGTGGTACCAGACATTGATATATCAGGCATACTGAGTTCGTCCTTTTTATGGCCTTATAGGTGTGTCTTTTCCTCAACAACTTATTGTTCCTCTGTAAATAAAATATCAATACAGGTACCGTGTACCGATGTGTCTGAAGATGATTGTTTGAGTCGAAACTAGTCACACTACATTTTGTGTAATATATGTGTCGACCTACTTGGTGTTATTCTGTGTTTTCTTCGACATTTCATATTATTTGAGTCCTCCTGAGATCATAGATGGATCAACATGTTTTTAATGAAGTACTATAAGTACTTTCGCTCATGTGAAGTTCGATTCATGTCAAGAGATTCAATTATATATCTTGGCAGTAACGAAACTTTTTTCAGTTTGTAATTCATCATCATTTTTAGGTTAAGGTCAATTCCCTAGTGGGAAGATATCAAGACTTGAATCCCTTCATTTGCCAAGTCCCCATCATAGGAGGCCCTGATATAGACCTCGCGGTACCCCTTTTCAGCAGAGCGAAACCTGTGGAGATTACTGACAAGTAGTAATGTTGAATAGAGATGTACACAAACCAAATTTTAACATTCCTTTACAGAGCTGCAGAGAAACTGATGGCAAATTTCAGAGGTGTTAAAGAAGATGATTTTCCGAAGATAAGTAGTAGAAAAGATTTCACGGAAAACTGTACTTTGAGTGAAGCGTTCGCACTGAATAATATGATAACCACTATAGGATTAGGAATATGCGGAGAGCAGCAAGCCCACTATAATGCTTTTGTGAGGTCGAATACGATATCCACTTGTCAGTAAGTATTTTCATCATTACTATCTTCAGAACATATCCGTATCCACTTTAATTGCAACCTGAGGAATGCATTTTCGCTACTTTTATAAACTACGGCACCGAACACTATTCTCGCTGCGCTTATATACTCTCGTATTACCTATAGGAATTGAATCATAACCCCACTCTTCTGTGAAACATTGAAACACAACTTCACTTTTTTTATCTGCTTACAGGGGAATCGAAGAAGTGAAATAGTTTTTCACAATATTTTGGCAAACGAATCGTGTTTTTTGCGCTATCCATTAATTCGAGCATGCCTTCTCATTGTGCGAAGGAATATGATTTTTCAGGTGATTAGTGATCTCACATAGTTTATCGATGAATTTTGTCATTTCTTATTAAAATTCCATCTGCCACTTCTGCAATAGAAGCTAATACTGCTAAAAGACTGAAAATGTCTACAACACAGACGATCATATTTCGTCAGCATGTCAGACCAGTCCTCCCGTTTGATTGCATGAATCCAATCTTCTTGCATTATCTTAGAAATTTCACGAGTATTATATAGTTCCTATTGCAGAAGGAATTCTGATGAGAAATCAGAGAAATTACCAAATTTCGAATATGAAAACTATATGTGAGTGACTATAGTAGGTACTTACTTTTGAATCATAATGTACCAACCGGATTCCTACGTCTCCCACTGCATTTTTTGTGCATTGTATAACAGCACAATGTGATGGCATGCGCGATTCAATGATTAGCCAAAAAACAAGATTCGAATGCCAAAATAATTGTGAAAAACTATTTCAATCATTCGTAAATAAATAAGAAAGGTGCGAGGTTTTGTTTCAATATTTCACCTCCAGGGTCGGCCATCTGACAGTTCTTGCACGCAACCCATTGGAATATAACATCTGAACCTTTGATACATCTCACTTCTTGTCATCGGTGACGCAATGAACAAATGGCAACTGGTGATAGATTATTCCCAGATTCATATCTCTAGAAGACAGTTGAAAAATTACCTTGGGGGGCATTTGATCATTTCATCTACAGGCTGTTCCGTCAGCTTGAACCCATAATAATTGGTGGTGAACGACTTTTTGGGTCCCTTTTATAATAATAATCCCGAATACTTCCAAAGATATTTAAAAAAAACCCGTATATTTGCGATTTCAATTCTATTTTTTTCTGACTCTATTTGAATAGATGTAGCAAAACAAATTACACATTCTCATTGCTACTTTTTCTGTTGTACACGATGGTGCTATCAGATTTGCAAACCGACGTTTCGTCTTTGTTTGTTTTTTTTTTAATATTGCCCTGGATTTTTTATCATGGATTTTCAGAACGTTCAATGTCTCAAAATCAACGGTGTATCGCACCTATGATGAATAGGTGTTTGTTTTCAATCCTATTAAAAATTTTGTCTCCCTCTAACACATGAGTTCCTATTAGGAATGCCATTATTATACATTTTCCGAATAAGTGCGATGCGATACACCGTTGATTTAGAGAGATCTAACGCTATTGAAATCCATAATAAAAATTCCAGGGCCGTATTTCAAAAGAACAAAGTTGATGATGGCAGTTCAGAGACGAATCGTCTATTTGAAAATCTGATCGCCACGCCATCTTGTGGAACAAAAAATGTTGCAGATAAAATGCGTAATTTGTTGTTACAAAAATTCTCGGAAGTAATCAGGGTTTTTTCAAATTTCAGAATGACATTTCGCGAACTTTGCTCCCATTTGACTCTCTATGTAGCTCATGGTAGCTCTTATCACGTTCACGAGATCCCCATCGATCTACCCGAATTCCATCACTTGCCATAGCGTGTTCTATTTCAAAAAAATTGTTCGATCGTCACTATCCGAACGTGAATCAGCCTGTATATTCAATCTCATAAAAGTGGTAAATTGAAAATAATAATTAACTCGTTTCAGAAAATTCCTCTGAAATGGATATTCTGGCTAAAAATTAATTATTCAGTACTTTACGGGAGCACTGAATAATCGATAACCATGTCGAATTCGAAAGTTTCGAATTTGCATGATCAGCGGTTCGAAAAGTTATGATATGGGGGTTGTTCAGACTGGCACTGTATACAGGGTGTCCCAAAATTACATAAAAATATTTCAACTAGAGACTCTAGGAACTTAAATAGTGAAACAAGTTCATATAAACGCATGAGCCCCGAAATGGCACCCTAGGGAGTTATAGCCTTCTGGAAGAGGGCCCGAGTTGATGGTTTCTTGTGAATATTTATGAAAACCTCTGTGTTGAGATAACGAAATTTTGTTCATGTACATCACTCATCATGTCTGATTCGAAAATAGGTGGGGCTATGCACTTTTCGGCAGTATCACAAGAAAATATGAAATTATCATCATTTCCACTCAAAAATGATACTCCTGTTTAGTACCGATAGCACTTACCAAACTCAACAGAGCATCAAAATTTGCTCAGTGGGGTACCAAATTTTCCCAAAAATTATTTTTCAATAGAAATACTCCTTTTTCAAAATCTATTTGTGATGTTTGACTCAAAATACGAAAGGAACAATAAAAAAAATGACTTAAAAAATGATTATAAATAGTACTATTCTTATTACGCAGCAGACTTTTGAAATCGATTTATCTCGAAAGTGGTGAGTTCTATCGAAAATAAATAGATGTATCATCATCACGTGAAAATGATGATATTTTCATATTTCCTAGTCAAACTGTCATAAATTGCATAGTAACAAAGTTGGAAGGAAATGCTCCTTGCCCCACACATTTTTTACGCCCCTGATCAAAATTTCAGAAAATTCTCAATATTTCCAAATCGAACATAAAAAGTAATATACATGTACGAAATTTCGGGAATATTCACAAATAACCATCATCTTGGATCTCTCTCAGATAACGCCACAAAGCCATGTTTACATAAACTTTTTTTACTATTTTTGTTTCTAGAATCTGTGGTTGAAATATTTCTATATAATTTCGGGACAGCCTGTATATAGATTTCATAGTACTGAAAGTGAAATAGTAGGAGTTTGACACTAAAGAACGCATAATAATATTACCACCCACGGTATCACTTTTATCATCGCTTTTCAGGCATCTGCTAACGACAGTCCAGTTTTCTCGGGGTGGAGTTGTTCATAATCATGGCGTGCCACAGCTGACGAAACTCGAACTGAAGATGTTCGAGAAAGCCGTTTTAGAAATAAAGGAGCGCGAGGAAATGGCGAAGGAGATGATAGATTTCATCGAGGGCAAGTATGACGTTCCCCCATTCAAATCGAAAGATATGGAGAAGAAGAAAATTTTACAGCAAACTGTCATTCGCGCTTGAAGTTTGTGAGAGATCGGAATACCATTCTGAAAAATGTATATACTTATAACTATGAAAATAAAATATGGAATAATGATAATCTATGTGTATATGTATTGGGTAGAAGAATACGTTGCAGAAAGTATAGTCGTAGAAGTTGATGAGAGGCAAATCGAATCATTATCAAAGAATAGTAGGTTTTGTCATTATCACCCGGTGAACCATTTCAACCCGATAGAAGGAGAAGCGAGGAGGCTTATAGTTGAGCTGTACTTACATGAAATTGAAAACACGTGATGTTTTCTATTGATCCTTCCTTGGTAATTCATAGAGATTCTTTTTCGCTTCTTCAACTTCCTCAGATCCACTATCTTAATAATTCTTTACTACTTATTTGCTCGTATGTTATCTCTTAGTTTCCACATACATTTGTTGTAGGATTCTTGGACCCTTTTATATCGGCTGATCATGAACTTCTTATGATCCCAAAAGTCGTATCAGTTTGGACACCTATTGGTTAGGTATTGTATTTTGTGAGGGTCGAGTGAGGGTGTTGAGGTGGAAACAGTCCAGGCAAACATTGTTGTTCAACAGTGGAACAACACCCGAGAAACACACAAGTTTACACAGTCTGTATACGTGTTGCACAACAGTTGTGCAGCTGTTGCCGAACTGATGGTCAGTGTTTGCTCCCGAGGCGGTACTTCAAAGGACATGTGACTCAACAGTGCGCACACAGCGTCTACAGTGTAGTCGCGTATACGGGTCAATTTTACATTATAATAAGTAAGTAGTTCATTCCCATTCAAGCAGAGAGGACATGTTGTCCTTCATTCTCAATTCTGGTAAAAACTGTTGTTCTCTGTTAGCGTATATACTTCTTTGCCACCACCTTCGCTTTCTACAGCCACTTCGAGATACTTTTATTTTCATAACTGAAAACGCACACCACGAGAGTAGAGCATCTTCTTCGTCGCTCATGGTGCCTGACTGAACGAACACTGGACAAACACCGGAGAAAGCAGGCTGGTCGATGTTGCCCAACAGTTTGTCGAAAATGTTTTCTCCCCAAGGAAACAGGTTAGCCAACAGTTGCCTACCTGTTGTTCAACTGTTGCACAACAATGTTCGCTTGGTCTGTCCCCACCTAGAGCTCTGGCAGATCCGGATACTTTGGTAACTCTCACTATGCATAAGTCATAAATCAAGCTGATGAGCAGAGACCGATAAATATAGTGTCATTTAGTTGATGAATTAATAACCTGATCGAGCGAGCAATGATTTTGAGCGACGTTGTCCTATAGCGGGGTATTTGACTGTCCCTGTCGCGACGGACCAGGACGGACACTGAGAATTATCGAAAAGAGTTGTGAATGCGGGACGGATTCGTATAGCAGTGGCCTTGTCGCGAACGCCAGTGTTTCGGGTGCAAGGGCGTATGGTACAGTAACGAGCTAACTTGTTGATAACCAAAACTGAACTGTTTGAAGTTACTCAAATGACCAAAATGTGTCAATGGCTGAACAGAACTGAACAATGTTTGCTCGTGTGAAAGACCAAACTCCGTTGTTGCATGTCTTGCGAATCATTGTAAATACAATTTGAAAGGGATTTTGAATATATCAGATGATGGACTTTCGAAAATGGTAATAAATCGCTTCCCATCATAAAAAGGAATTGAACGGAACTTTGTTTTCCTAAATATCATGCAAGAATTCTGGAATTGCGCTTTCAGAATCGTGATGGATCAGAAATTGAGAATGTGGAAATTCTGTGATAGTGTTATCACCAATTTCAATTGGACGATTGAGTTGAATTATAAGGTCGGTATAAAGTAGACATCAACCTCGCCCTGAATTCTTTCTGGGCAAAATCATCTCCTGTAGAATGAATGGAACAGATTTTGTACCTATATTCAGAGTATACCCAGCAAACAATTATGGTCGGCCTTATGCTGGCTCCTAATATGCTGGCAAGAATTGACAAGAACGGCAAAATACCTGTGAACATTGATGGGCCAGTACCAATAGGAGACTGGTCGTTATCAGGGCCAGTACATGTCTGCCGATACATTCAAATAAAAAAAGACAACCTCCACGGTATTCGAACCCCGGTCCTCCGGTTTCACTTGGTTATGAATGTAACTTATTCCACCCAAAAGCTACTTATTCTACTTTCTTGAAATGATATGTGTGCACGGAATTCATTTGCGGTTGACTTCCGAATCAGAATATTCCATTAATAAGCATCAGCATCATAACAGATATATACAAACGATGAACAAGGCAAAATATCCGATTTTCCGATTGACTACCGAATTTCAGTCATACCTATTTTATGAGTCAGACGACTTGCTCATTCTTTATGTCCGGATTTGATGACTTCCATGAAAATAATCAAATACAAAACGGCAGAATAGCGCAGTAGTTAAGCGCTCGAGTAGCAATCAGAACGCAGGAATGTTGGTAGGTTCGATCACTGGCACAGCAGAGAATTTCCATTTATAAAACGAGTTTCAAATTTTAATTTCCGTAGCCTCGACCGGAGATGATTCCACACAATTCGCTGTTGCGTTCCAATTAACAGTGAAGCTCCTAAGGTGGCGTATGGAGTTAGTAAGGAAGCCTACATACAGAACACACATGGATTGAAGGACCTCTCGTGAGATCGATGGCCAGTTGGATACATACCAACGGAGAATATATATTTATTTACCTCATTTAGAGGCAATGAATAAACATAAGTACCTAGTAGTAGTAGTATATGTACTTGGTTGGTATGCATGTACACACCAACTATCGACCTCACGACAGGTCCTTTAGCTCATTAGTGTTCTGAGTAGGCTTCGTAACTAACTCCATACGCCAACTTTGGAGCAGCACTGTTAATTGGAACGCAAAAGCGAATCGTGCGGAATCAGCTCTGGCTGAGGCTATGAAAATTATGGTTTAGAGCTCGTTTCATAAATGAAAATCCTTTGCTATCCGAGGATCCGAACCTAGTAATCTCTCGATGTTCTGATCACTACTCGATCGTCTCAACTGAACATGAAATAAAATCATACTCTATTTGGCACGATGCCGGCTAGATTATAGTTAAACAATCTCAATATGCCATATAATGGGTAGACGATCATATAAAACATATAATACGATTACAATATGCATACAATGGGCCGACGTTTGACTAGTGCAGCTTGGCAATGGCCAGCAATCTGCCGTTGTATCATAATTATACTGTGCCAGAAGGAGGCTATAATTTGATGTTTGCTGCGTGATCATTTCAAGGTTGAATGTACCCCCCGAGACTATTCTTTATTATTGAATTTGAGAAACATCGGATGAATATCATGTGATGGGGACAAATAAATAGGCGACAGAAATATTTTCGAGATTAGTACCTTCCTATATGTGCTCTCCAGGTATTAAAATAGTTCTATACAAAATGTCTTCATCACAATAATGAAGTAAAATATTAATAATATTACTAAAGATGAAAGAGATGATTTCAATGACGAGTTATGACACACACTGTATGTATGATCGACAACTCGGTAGTTTCTCTTCTCTCCTTTATTACTTATTTGTACTCCTATTCGCCCCATTCAGAAATTGATAATGAAACCATAGATATGAAACCATATTCCGAGCGTTCTAGTCGTAAGATATGAAGATTAGGAACTCCGTGACCTGAACACATTCGAATCCTCTGTTTCTCAACCAACCTCTTTCAGTATTGGTATAGGTATTGGTATTGGTAGGTTGGATTGGATGGTGACAGATGCGCTGCGACCTATTGTGCCCCATCTGCTTCTGCTATATCAAGGATTTCTTGTTTATAGCAGCCCCTCGAGATTCAATTCCTTCAGGAATTTGAGGATTTTGAGGGGGTCCAGCTGTGGTATTTCTTCCACAGTCAGCTGGTGTGTTCCCAGTATGTTCAATCTTTTGTGATGTACAGCGTCACACTCCATCAGTATGTGATGTGGTGTTTCTGGTTCTTCCTCACAGAATCTGCAGGTGCCGTCCTCCTGTAAGCCTAGCTTCCTTAAGTGTTCTTTGAGTCTGCAATGCCCCGTTAGATATCCCAATATTGCTTTGAGACTTCCTTTGCTGAGGTTTGTCAGTGTGTTAGATCTTTCTCGGTTGAAATTTCCAAGGAGATCTTTAGCCTGCCGTAGTCCTGGAAGTCTTCTCCATCGTCTGGCTCTCCAAGCTTCTTCCGCCTTCTCAAGTTCTCCTTGGAAATAGGAATGTCCAAGGCCGCAGAATGGCTCTGGTCCGATCAGTGGCGTTGAAGCCCCTTGTCGTGCCAGAGTGTCTGCTTGTTCATTCCCCTCTACTCCAATATGCCCTGGCACCCAGAGGAGGATCACTTTATTGTCACTGCCTAGCTCATTCAATTTGCTTAGGCATTCCCATACCATCTTCGAGTTGATGCAAGGAGAGCTCAACGCTTTGATGGCTGCTTGGCTATCGGATAAAATCGCGATGTACTTCTTCCGGTATTTCCTGTCTAGGTTGAACTGGATGCATCTTTCTATTACGTGTATTTCCGCATGAAAAATGCTGGGGAATTGTCCCATGGATTCGAAGTATTTGGTGCGAGGCCCAAAGACTCCTGCTCCAGTTCCCTCGGGTAACCTCTTTCAGTAACAAAGATAATCAAAAGTTCCAACCATAACACGAGATTTGAAGACCTGAAATCGTTCTCTAGACACATCATTAGTGCATTATTACGGCCTAATCAGACCCTATTTGCTCAATATACGCAAGCGCGCGAAGAAACGTAAGTTTCTCAACGTTTTTTTGATACCACTTAGGATGACTTGTACAAAGAAGATCTTTCATGGAATACAACGAAAGACCGTCTGCTGCCTATGATGTGTCCGCTTCAACGTGGCTTCAACCGCATTTTTTGATGACGAAACCGATGAATCGCCCACTCATGATATGACGTGATTTGACATTCCTAGCTGTTCCATTTATTTACTGGGTTGTTTGAACTTCATCGCTAACAATATGTTGTGTCACGCTCCTGTTTGTATGCTCATGAATCAAGCACATGGGAGATAGAGGAGATGATTTGGCCAGAACACCG